TTCCCTTTCTCTCCATTCCAGATACCAACTTTTATTTTTAATAGCACAAAGTCCCTCAGTCCTACAGTTAGTACTGTAGCTGTTGTATTATGGTGCTTAATATCGGCAAGCATCAACCAGCAAAAGGTCATGGTTTTTTAATCGAATTCCAGTGGCTCAGGAGCCTGCATTGATCCCAACAGCCGATACTAACACTGAGGCCGCTCAACTACGGCGTTAGCAGCGTCGGAAGGGTCATAATCAATTAAATTACCATCCTTATCACTGCTGCTACTGTGGTCACTTGACTGTTTAGATCCATGAGCCTCCGATAGCAGAACGTGATCCGCGTGGTTGGCACCTGTGGCTCTGTACAAGGCTTTGTGCCATCCATCTCAGGGGATCTAAATGGTCAAGCAGTTAACAGGTGTGCAAAAAGATCTCCAAAATTATTTTTAGCTGCAGTATTTTTATTCTCGTGTCCAATGCACTGTTGAATCCGCAGCTAGAAGCTCTCGTTTTCACCCAGTGTTGTGCCATCTATGTAAAAATTAGAGGAGAGTTTGCTTTTCTATATTTAATCTAGGTGGACAGTATATTATTGTCAGCCTCTGTGGAACATTTGAACAATTGCAATGTCTGTGTTGCTAAATAGCGCTTTAGAAGGAGCATTAGCTTTAGCTGACTGATTCTCTTCGCCAGTTTGATTAAAAGACCATGTATGGAGTTTTTATAAACTTGGCAACTAGTTCCCGAAAGCCCAGATCTTCAAACTTCCTGCAAGAAAACAATGGTGCCAGTCAGGTATTGTGGCCTACACATCTTCGTTCCCCTGCCTTTATTCAGGGTAGCGAATGAGTCATTTTTGTAGACTTCACCTTTTGCAAAATCTGAAGGACAAAATATGTGACTGGTTTATAAAAACTCTGCTTGAATTTACTGATCTCGCCCAGAAGCGTGGACTTTACATCCTATGAACTCTCATTATCCCCAGCAAAAGTCTCTAATGCCCTTTCTTAACACCTGTAAATAGAGAAGAAACATATTTACTGATACCGAAAGTTGTGTTTAATGCTGAGTATTTTTCAGAAGTTCATTTAGTTTGATGCATATTGTTCTTTGTTTTCCTGCCTGAAGTGTCAAAAGACCTAAAAGAAGCCAAATTCTATTTTAACATGATGATGTCGAGCACTTTTTTATTTGTATATGTGTGTGTATGTGTGTTTGAGCACTGAGCTCTGGATTTTGGTGGCATCTCAGTGTTGTGATTTCATTGCCAATGTAAAAGGTTCTGGTGTTGCCCATTCATTTCTGGAGACAGAATTCAACCAAATAAAGTGCTTCCATTTGAAAGCGAATATTGACCTTGTACCAATGAAAAGGAAGTCATCCACGTATTTAAATAAACATTTAATTCCAGAAATGCGGTTTCAGTGGACCCTTTTGATCAGCCAGAGGAGAAGAAAAATGGTTTGGTCGCTTCCCTTTCCCAATAAAAAGGCAACGCCTCTGCTGGGGCTTCTCCGATGTGCTGAGCTGCTCCAGCCGTTGCTCTCCAGTGACCTTTCTGCCTTAGCAGCACCCTTTCCAGTTGAGAATGGGAACGGAGCTGTGGCTCTTTCAGCCAGATAGAAATTTTGTAGCCTGAAACTCCCCTAAGCCACGCTCGAACTCCTCGCTCTTCTATGGGATGGATTTGGGTTTCGCGTCCAGCTGTAAGATTTACAACAAATAAGCAGAACCGAGCTGCTCTGTTCAGAAGCAGGGTGACGCATTCTTATTCATGGTGCTTGGGGTTTGGTTTGGGTTTTATTTCCTGTTATTTCATACTGGAATGTTCAGGTACTTGGCGGATTGATTTGGCTCTGCCTGTGCCTTTGAGTGACTCCCCCGCAGCCGCTCCCCATCAGGTCACTTGGAGACACAGTTTTACCCAATTTTTACCTTTCCAGCTGGCACTGAAGAGAGTCTGAAGTGGTCAGGGGCTTTCTTTTTCATTTGCTGTGGTGGCGGGGGCAGGCGGTGGCTCTTGCTTTTTCCCACTTCAGTGGGAGGCAAGGGGAACTGGAAGCTTGGGGCACAGACTCCCCTAGCAGCGCTGTGCCTGGTGATGCCCGGAGCGACTGCTTGGGTTTCACCGGACGCCTTGGCAGGTGGTTTTGGTGCCGATGGTTTATGCTTTATACCTGTGTTGAGCCTAGCAAGTCAGGCCTCTGCATGCACGCGTGCCTGAACACGCAGGTGTATGACACACAGTAGTGGCTCCCTTCACGGAATAATCTGATGCTTTTCCGTAAATCTGGGTGAGGATATTTACAATTCCGTGTAAATATGCAGGCGGGGGGAGCAGCGTGTGTGCCTCTGGCTGAGGCAAACCCCTGGCTGGCTTCGGGACAGCTGCTCCGTCGCCGTTAGGCCGGTTCCTTGGGAGCAGCTTCATGGAGGAGCCGCGGGGGGCTGCGGTTGTACAGCCCTCGGAGGTGACACCTGGCTGATCGTTTCATCTGAAGCAGCTGTATAGAGGGGTTGGGGTTTTTCCTGAAGGTCAGATTGCTGTTTTTCTTCTAACGGAATTCCAGTTGTTATTTGCCAGCGCTAATTAACATCCCTGTCAATTCAGGACAAACCAGTACTGTTTACGAAAGAGGCTCCTCAGTCTTTGCATTTTTGGGAAGCAGTGAATAGGCGGGGGTGTCGGCCTGGCTCTAACTTTGATTTATCTTGAGCAGCACCAGCATCGCTAACCGTAAACAGAAACAGCGCAACCCAGTGAGCTGAGCGAGGGCTGGAAGCTGAAACCAAGCTGAGCAGTAACTGGGAAGAAAATTAAACGAGCTTTGCCTCTGCTGGCGGCGTCCCCGGTCGTGTCGGGGTGTAGGGGATGCTCGGTGCCTTGGCCATTGGGGGGGGCGGGGATGAGACACCGGCCCCCCCGGCCACAGCGGCGGCCTCGAGGGCAGGTGCTGGCGATGGTGAAGCCGTGGGGTGCGTGGGCCCTGCAGCCCCCGTCCGTGGTGGGGGTAGCCCAGAGCGCTCCCTGCCTGCGTGCGCAGCTCGGCTGCATCCAACCCACCTGGGCGTGCGAGGAGGCTGGGGGGGGAGGGAGGTTTGCTCCGTCAGTCCAAGGCATGAATAGTTCCTTCATCTCCCCTTTTTTATAGGGACCTGATAAGGGGAAAATGAAGTGATTTGCAAAAAGAACTGATAAGAGTTGAGCCACGAAACGCAGCCAACGTTGGGAACAGGTCCCAAAGCTCGCGGCGTTTGAGACGCGTGCTCAGAAATAGCGTGGCTGCCTACCGCGGGAGTCGGAGAAAAGCAAGGCTGCGGTCAGATTTCAAATGAAATGGGGATGCAGAACTGAGCTCGGAGTGTTCTAACGGACAGAGGGTAACAAAAAGCGCAATTATAGGTTTGCCAGAGCAGTGCTCGAGCTGTTTGTCTGGACACTGAATAATCCCCTCCCTAGGGGCGGGCGCTCGGCCCCGCTGCGGGAGGCCTGGAGCTGCTCTGTGGTTGCTGAGGTGACCGGCCTTGTTTGCGAGATGCAAGTTTTGGCGGTTGACTTCAAGTTGCTAAAGAACAAACTGCGCGTTCTTACTAACCCAGCGCGAGCTCCGTTTCTTCGGAGAGGTGGGGCCTTAGCGAAGGCGGCGTCACCCCCTGCCCTGGCAGAGCCTGTGTGCGTCCCCCAGCCCCTCGGCCTCGGGCAGCCCCCCAGCACCCCCCTGGTTCGGCAGCTCCATGAATTCACGGTGGTAGGAGGTGCTGGCAGCAGCACGGTGTCCCTAGGGCCACAGTAGCAGCGGCTGCTGTCAAGTGTCACCAGGGAAATGGTATCAGTACTGGCCTCTTCAGCCACAGGACAGACAGACAGACACCTTTAGAAGCCTAGAACAGCTCAATGGCTCTTCAGCCGCTTCCCTTGCGAGTTACTTTCATAGCACGGATGGTCGGGAAGAGCGCGGGGCGAATGCAAGGTGGAGTCGTGAGCAGGGAGGGGAAGGAGCAGGCGCCCTCTGAACGAGCGTGGCGGGGCTGAGCAGGCTTGGGCTGCCACAGCTGCTCAGCAGGATTTGTTACTGGAAAGCCTCTTGGCAGCCAGAAGTTTGGATTTTTGTTTGAATTTTTAAATTTTTGTGTTTTTTCTTTATTAACACCATAAGCTCCCTGGAAGCTCAGGCCGTCTGGCCACAGCCAGCAGGCAGCAGATCATGCAACTTGTTGAATGCACATGTATTTATTGTAATACATTTTCAGCACAAAGTATAACACTTAAGCACAGGAGTGTTACCACAATCTGTACAGCACCCTCTGAACAGCACGGATACCACGGACATGCAGCCCGACAGGCTCTGCAGCAGACTGGAAGGCGGCCGCAGTGGCTAACAAAGACGGCTTAAAACAATGAGCAATCCCAACAGTGGCTCGTTCTCTGAGCTCCCCTCGGGCCTGGCTGGGTATATACAAGCATCCAATTAACATGATCGCAAAATTCACATGCTGCACCATTTACAGACACTTTTTTAAAGAAGTTGCTGTTTGCAGCAAACATTTGGTCTAAAAAAAAAAATAAAATAAATTCTGAAGGCCACATTTTTCTTTCAAACTCTCCTCCACCTTTTCCTACTCTCGAACTCAAAGAGCAATCGTTGCCTCCCTCCCGCTCCTACCCGAGGTGCTCAGGAGGTCCCAGCCCCCTGGGATCTGCTCAGCCTGGTACCGCCAAGGCCAGACTGGATGCTGTGGAATCACTCAGGTTCCAGCACCATGAACACAGAGTTTGGTCCCTCAGCCCACCAGAGGCCACCTCTGCCTCCCTCTCCTTCCATTAAACTGCACTCACGTGCTTCCAGAGGTTTCACTGTTGCCTTTCTGGCTTAGGAGATGAATGGAGAACTGTTAAGAGCAGCCCTGCTGAGAAAGGCAGCGTTTAGCCGTTGTCATCTTCACTCCTCCCTCCGCTATCGGATGCTCCGTGGCTGCGCTGGCGGCAGTAGACTGGGGAGGGAGTTGTTTCTGTTCGTTAAATGAGCCACTGTGCACACAAATGACATCTGTGTCGAGAAGCTGGAATGACCTCAGCGCACAGGTGGGGGCTTGTTCGCAGAACACAGCTCAGGCCTAAAAAGCTGCTTCAGGAGGCAGGGGCCTGCTCAGCCGGGCCCCTTCCCCGGCACTGAATGAGGGCCCTGTCCCAGGGCAGCCCAGCTGAGCAGGCTCCCTACGAACCAGCCGGCTCCTCCCCGTCCCTCACCCACCCTGTGGGGACAGAGCCCGGCTTACAGCAGGGCCAGGCTGAGAGCAGGGTTATGAACCCCCAGTCCTAAACTCTGCGCAGGAGCTGTCCTGTCCCCCCCGCCGCAGCCTGCCCGTTAACAGTGCTGGGCTTCACATGCCACCCCTGTGAGCTAAACGCCTGGAAGGCTGCACCCCCATCGCTACAAAGCTGCCAGGAGCTTTAGTGGAAAGCATGGGAAGCCACTGGGAAGGGGGACTCATCTTCCAGCTTTGCTCTCTGAAAATGTGAAGGAAGCATGAAATCAGATACAAGGAAAAAAAAAAAACCCAACCCAACAGCAGGACCATGAAGGTGGCTTTAGGGGCCGGGGGAGACAGAAACGGCCTCTTTCTTTCAAAATTTCTTAGTTGGTTGCAACTGAATTTGCAAGAATTAGATAAAGAGCAAACCCAGGAAGTTGTGACAGCACAAAACTACCGGGAGACCTCGTGGCTTCAGTCAGCTTCAAAGAAGAGGTTTCTCAGTTGCAACACTGCCCACTGGGAACATAAATACCATTTCGTTACCTTTACACATTTGATTTAGTTAAAAAGAAAAGTGCCAAAAGCAAAACCTGCAAAGGAGCAGATACTCAGTTCAGTGGGGGCAAGCTGGGAGTGCTGGTTTCTTGTAAGCAAACAAAAGGGAGAGGGCTCAGGTCAACACAAACCCTGGTGAAGTTTGGCTGCACTCTCGTACCGCAGCTTTATCCAGAGCTGAATTACAGAGAAGCTGATTTCTTCCCAGTCTTGCCCAGCACCACCCCTGTATTCAAAGCCACGTGAAAGGATGGCGGAGGAAACCTGCCTTCCCCGGGAGCGGTGGTGGGAGGCGCACACACCTTCGAGTACCAGACGACGGATGAGGTTTGACTCCTCAGGATTCCCCAGCCTTCCATCCCCACATGGACGTTATATCTGTGCCGTACCTTCCCTGCCCCGTCCCGCACAGATCACACAGCCCGCGTCTCTGCTTCAATCTTCTGCTCCGCGTGCAGGTTTTCCAATTCTTGGACCTGGGCCACATTCTGCCTGATAGCGATCTCTGGGCCCCCTCCGTACAGCGTGCTTAAATAAATCCACGTCTCCTCGGAAATCTGCCCGTAGTCAGCACCTGAAAGGGACAACAGCAGTAGTCAGACGTGCAGCCAGCAGGCCCTCGGTTCGGCCTCCCTGACCCGCTTGTGCACGGCCACAAATGAGCTGTGAGAGCCCGGGGGCCTGCGGCTGTGCACTCGGACACGGCAGTCCCAGGTAGCCGGGGTTGCACTGCCTGGGAGAGGCTGAAAACGCCCCTCCAGGCTGCCCTAGGAGGGACAACTTAAGGTGGTCAAAGCACAAAGCAGGGAAAGCAGAGACCTCTGCCATAAAGGGTACAGAGGAGGAAAGCAGAAAGGGTTGCTTTGCGATAACCAGGACAGAAATGCAATCTTTAGCTGCTGGGCAGGAGAGCCCAGCGAGGGCAGCATAAGCAAGGTTATCCCACGAGCTGGCGCACAGCAGATGCTGAGCGAAGACAAGTCAGGAGTGAGACAAGGTCAAAGCTACAACGCTGGGCGAAGGCGAGTGGTGGCCGGGGCCTGGGGACCAGCAAGAGCAGGCGATGGGGGGCTGCGGGCTTTACTACAGTGAGCACATCAGCAACTGGGTCACACAGGAGCTGCCAACTGAGAGGACACAGGGCAGTCAGCACAGGGACTGCAGAGAACTGTCACACTCTGCAATGCCATCTTGCTCTGTGGCTGCTTCTCCATGGACAGCCAGATCCAGTGGCACATTCTCCTTCCCCTTCTAGAAACACCACGAGACAGCGAGCACAGCACAAGCCTTACCCTGCTTAACTTGCACGTGGCCACCTGCTTTTGTGAGCGCAATCTTGCTGTTGTCAATCGGTCCGGGAGGCTCTGTAAGAGGAGACAAACATGGCAAAAACCACTCAGCTTTCCCCATTGCCACCAGATTCAGCTTATTTCCCCAAGCTGGTTCCCTTGTTATTTCTGCCCTGCCCTTGGTGACCTCCAGGCAGTCTCGCTGGCGTCTGAACTCCATTCAGCATCAAGTCACACCAGCTGGGTGCAGCGCTCACTGAGGAGGTGCCCCGAGCAAACAGACCTTTCCATTCTACCTCTCACCCCGACAGACTCCAGAGGTCTCTGGCTTCTTACCGTTATCCTTCCCCTTGACAAAGGCTTCCCACTCACGGAACCACTGCATGCTGATACAGTAGATGACGCTTGGAGACTCCTCTGCCTGGAAAGCCTTGTTCAGCTGGGAGAGCAGAGGAGACATGCAGAAAGGATACAGTCACTCCTGAGACCTGGAGGAGCCCCTTCAGTTAACTGTAAGGCAGCCTTGCCATTCTTCAGAAGAACCCCTTGTAATTCTACCACCGTCCTCACAAGCTGTTCCTGCTCACTAGAGCAGGCAAGAGACCAGGATGGTTTCAAACTTTGTGCCTGCACGCAGCCAGGCAGAGCATTATCGTGTTCCAGCTGCCCTTCCCTGTGCTGTTAGCACTGGGGAACCCCAAGGTCAATCTCCTGGCTATGTTCTGGAAAACAGGCAGGAGTTTTCCACTGCCTGTGATGGGTCTCCATTCCCCACCTCTGCCCTTTGCCGATGCTTCCAGATGCTTCCCGTACGAACCTTGATGAAGGTGTCGATTTCAATTCTCCTGCGCTTGGCCAGGGCTTCAATCTCCACTTGGCAAATCGAGCACACGTACAGATGGTTCACAGCAGGGCCACCCCCAAACCTAAGCACAGGAAGAGAGGGAGGAGAATGGAGAACTGCAGGAGAATGGAAATGCTTCCCAGCCCCGAATCCTACAGAGATGGATTTTTACACCACTACAGAGGCTGGTGAAGAGGGCGCAACTGCAGCCGTTTTCTGAATCTCCTGCTGTTACTCGACACAGTGAGGGTCTCACTACTGCTCTGGGACAATGCACTGATACAGCCCATTTTGGTTTAGATGAGGAGGCTCTACCAGATTCAAGTCTTTGCCAGTCCACACCAAGTACTGCAGGCCTTTAAGGTGCCCTGGGAAGGGATTATGCCAAGGTCACTGCCCAAGGTGTGAAACAAAACCCAAGACTCACTGGGAGGAAGACTGAAGTGGCCGTATTCACCTGTTGTAGAGATATTCCCACACGTTCTGGGGCAGAATCACAACCAGGTCATCGATGTAGTGGTACTTATTAGGAGGGATCCCTGTGGAGGAAAGGCACAAGGGAGAGTTAACCAGGGAACTCATCATTGCTGGGTAAAGACACATAAAAAAGGCAGCTCTTCCTTGCTGAAAACCCCAATCCCAGAATCTGCCTCTTCTGCTAATGGAAGACAGTCAAGAGTTCAGTAATTGTGGAGGTTTCTCAATTCATGGCCTCAGTTTCTAATCAAGTGCTTCATTTCCAGTTGGTGATTTATAAACACGAGGCCTCCCCAGCATGACAGATAAAGCAGAACAGTAGAACATGGCATCAGCTCCCTTCAGTAGCACGTGTGCTGTTCTCCAAACAAACACTGAAGGCCAACCTTGCTGATAGGGTAGCGTGGGTAAATGCTGCCTTATCTGCTTTCTACAGGTTTGTTTTTAAAAACAAACAGAGAACTGAAAACTGTTGTTTCCCAGCACGACGCATCCCTCCAGGCCTCCGATCAGCAGGACAATGGGGTGACTGCCTCATCTCTCCCCGAGCGGGCTGGAGTTTCTGCCAAAGAAGCGGATCCTACCGCAGCGCACACTGTATCAGGACTACAGCTGGAGGGTTTTTTTGGAAGCATAAAGGTACAGCTGCGAGTTGCCATCGCAGGTCCAGCAGCACTGCCTTACCTCCGTGAGAGCACAGGAAGGTGTGATTGGTGATGGGACCAGGCTCAGCAAAGGTGTTGAATTTATTGAGCCACTCTCGAGAGATGTAGAACTGCAGTAAACTGTGCTCCTTCATGCTGGCAAGGGACACAACTTTCTGGCGCTCTCGCACAGCTTCTTCACTGCTTTTCCTTAAAAGGGAAAGGAAGAGAAAATAAGCAATTCCCGAAAACTTGGCTTTCCAAACACGTTTCTGTGTATTCCGCAACCAGCAAGGGATGGCTGCATCCAGGGCACTGCTCACCTGTAGAACAAGACATAGGCTTCTGCATTCTGCACCACGGTCTCATGGACTTCAGTGACGTACTGGTCATCAAACTCGTACCACTGGCCATTGATCACGTTCTGGCAGTAGGCTATGTAATGCCCACCTGTAACAGAGAAAACACAACGCTGCTGGGATTTGGAGTGCAGACAGAAGCCAGGCCTGGGATAATGTCAGCGGCACAGACCAGATCAGCTTCTGGCAGAGGACAGAGAGAGTGCCAAAAAACCAGAAAGGCGTAATTCCTGGTCAGGCAAGCTTTGCCGGAGCAGGGGAGCCTGGCACTATCAGCCTGATTTGCCTTCCTTGGAAAGGGCCTCTCAGTGAGACTGAACATCAGGAAAGGGTTTGAGCCAACCCAGCGGTGAGGCTGCAGTAGCTGCAGGGGATCTGTCAGAAGCTGCTTGGTTTGCTTTTCAAAGGGCTGAGGCTGAGCAAGGCTGGGGATAGAGGGGGTTGGTCTTGCACTGCACTTCACCCCAGAGAGGTGTTGGCTAGTCTGGGAGCACACTTCTGCTTTGCTCATGCTCATCTCGTTCCTGTTCACCCCTGCCCGCACTCACAGAAGGAGGACTTACTGCCTGCTGTGCCATGGTGACAGATGACCGACAGGAGATCGTAGGTGGTGATCTGGGAGACACACTCCTTGGCTAGGAAAGGTCGCAGATCCAGCCCTTCCAAGGGGAAGGAGACGTGACTGTTGATCTTGAAGGAATACATCACCTCATGCCGGAACCGTTTCAAGTGGATGCAAAGAATCTAAAAGACAGAGAACATAAGTTTTCTGTGGGTATTCTGATCTGACAGCACATCTCTATGCATCTGACCTTTGCAAGAGTTCTTTGCCTGTTGGCCATGAATTCTCCTAGCTCATCAGCTTAGAATGGAGAAGTTTCTTCTGGTCTAGATACACGACTTTGCCACCAAAACAAACTGCTCCTTCTGTTCTACCTCCAGCCTCCTTACCTCCTCAGTGGCTGCTGAAAGAAAACTGGGAAACAAGGTGCTTTTACTCACCTCTGGTAGGCGGAGGACTTTGCAGTACTTTACTCCATTCCGCAGTCTGAGGGAGAAAAAGAAACTAGCTGTGAGAAATCTCTAAACCAAAGGGATGCCAAAAGGCAAGACAGGGTCTTGCTCTGTCTGGGCCTTGCTCACTTTGAAATCCAAGACAAATCCTGAATTCCAGCAGCAACAAATTCAGGCTCTTTGCAGCATCCTTCCCAAATGAAGCATGGCACGAGCAGTTTGTCCTGCTTCTTTCTAATACAGTTGCTCCATTATTGCCAAGCCACATCCCTGTTCATGTCCTTCTTCCTTTCTTTTCCCCCCAAAGCCAGCACTTTTCCTATTGGTGATCAGTGACCTCTTAAGACCAGAACTCCAATTTAAGGCAAGGCAGAAGAAATGTCCAGGCAGAGGGCATAGCAAAATGATTGACAGCAGTACAAAGTTCCAGAAATACAACCCAATACAGATAATGCAAACTTACTTTTTACACCGTTCACAGCTGTACATGTTGTCCCCTGTAGACGAAGAGAAGAAAGCCATTATGCAGTTACTCAGAGCACACAATGCCGATATAGCTATGTTTCCATCCAGTGCAGAGAAACCAAGTTAAGCAACCTCTTGGGGAAGCCAGGGTGAGAAGAGATCGAAACCAGCCCTTCTCTCAATAAGTACAGGCAAAAAGAGAATGCAGTCAACTAGCAGGAAAGTATACAATTGCCCACCAACACAGGTAAATACAGCAAATTATTTAAGTCCTATAGAGCTGATGGAGTGGGTGGAGAAAGCAAAGACACTAAGAAGGAGCCACAGCACTCACAACCAACCAACAGGCACGTCTGCTCCTCGCTCAAGAGACTCTCACCCAGATTCAGAATGAAAAAGCAGCACCCCTGGGCAGGTGGGAAAAGTCGCTTCTGCTCAGAGATGCTGAACTGCCAGCTTCTGGTACTGCCAGTCTCTGAGTGAAATAGTGAGGCAGGATGTCCAGGAGATTTAATCCAAAACACACGTGCAATAACTCCTCCATGTGGTTTTCCTTGTTTTGTGCTGTCAGACCACACTGAAGAAAACTCACCCTTCAACTCATCTGCTGCAAAAAAGGCAGCAAGGCAATCCTCCAGCGTCACAACAGGACCCCAAAACCAGCTAGGGATACAGGACACCACAAATCTGCAGGAGAGAGGGAATTAAGAGAAAGAGTTACACATAAAATAGTTGGACCCCTTGACGTACAAAACCCAAAATGGATGATGGGTTTCCTTCTAGCTGTAGGTCCTAAGCTCATCGCACATCCCAGAGGAGCAGGGAAAGCATGATTTCTCTCAGCTGATGTTCCTACCGTGATTGCTCAAACTGGAGATGATTTGAAAAACTACACCAGGAATTAATTTGCTCCGGAGGGCAAGACTGAGCAAAACGCAGCAGTGAGGGATTATCAGTTGCACAAGAGATCTCAAGGTGTGCGACAGAACTAGAGGAACAGTAGTGACTGGTTTACATTAAAAGGCTCAAAGCCCTGTGAGGTACCACATACTGTCATCCACAGAATGGTTACAGTTGTCATTCTGCTGTAAAAACCACTGGTTAGGGATAGCTGCCTTCCAGCACTGCAGGGCAAACCCCAGAAGAAAGAGGTCCTGCACAGGGAACACACCTCCGGATATACTCCATGATGAAAGCAATCCAGCCTTGTGAGGCATAGTTGTCCCCACATGCCCCTGTCTTAGCTGGCACGTTTTGGTAGATGGCAGAGTGCAGCTTGGCCAAGTCCTCCTTCCCTGGGATTGGGAGTGACAGGTCCTGGAATGTCTCCACTGTCGTAGAAACCTGGAAATATGCAAGAGGAAGAGGTCCGAGTTTCCTGTGTGTGTAATGGAGCTGGGACATGACCTTCATCACCTTTTATCACTGCTCGGATTTTGTCTAGGCTAGAAACCTGAGCTAGCAGTAAGAGCAACTCACTCCGGCTAATTATGCTTCACTGCTGTCAGCAGGATGACTTTTATCATGGTTTTTGTAGCACTGAAATCAGTTTTCTAATGTGAACATGATATTGCCAGGCCAACTCAGTAACACGGATAAGCAAACAGACCCCTACACAGAGAAATGCGACTTATTGGCGTGGCACGTTTCTTACACCTCCCCCATCATCAACCTGTCATCATTTTAGCAGGCCTACTGCACCCCACAGTGTTTGGAAACAGGAGCACTGTTTCCTAAGAAGAGCTCCACAAGCTGAAGCCCATGCTCGTTGACCAACGGCCAGACGACTCACTCTGTCGCACGTGAGGCACTGCACCAGGCTGAGAATGGAGCCGTCAAAGATGTCAGAAATCACACTGCGGTAACGAAGTTCTTTCTTCTTTTTCCCAGAAGCCTGCATCTGGGCTGAAAGACAGACAAGGAAGCCCCATCATGTAGCAACTCCTTCCCAGTCTCCTGTCTCAGCAGAGTCACGCAGCCACGCAAGAACACAGGACAAACGCTGTCCTGCACGATCAGATGCCACTTGCATGCCAGAGAGACAGTGGAGCCCGTTGTGCAGTGGCATGAAGAACACTGCTGCTTCAGGTGGTACAAGAAAGGGGGAGGTAGCCAACTGAACCAACACAAACGTGCCAGCCCTCAGCAGGCAGAAACTGTCTTACTGGAAATCCTGCTCCCATCCTACGTGTTTAGAAGCCTGGCCCTGCCACAGAGAGTCCCTGCTTTTCTGAGGCCTTGCAATACTTTGCTCTAAGCTTTGCACTTTACTTCCTGCCCCACCTCACCTGCCTGTGTACTTTGTCCTTTTTTTTTCCCTCTGACATTTACCATGTGTTCCCCAGGTGTCTTGCATTGGAAAGGACTCTCCACAGCAGGGACTGGCCAAACACACAGTTTTGTTTAATAACGAACCCTCTTCCCCATGCACACGTGCATGGAGACAGAGTGTTTTTTATCCAGCCAGAACATCTGTGGCTGTGCTGACCTCAGCCAAGGGGCCGGGACACAGTTGAGGAAAGAATGCCATTACTGAACGGCTGGAGGGACAGTGGGATAAGCACAGGCCATTGTGTTGGCAGACTTTGCAATGTCAAGGGATTTCGATTTGCAGTTTGCTTGGGATGAAGACACCAGTTTGATAACAACAGAAGCCAGGCTCCACTCTGAAGTCTAACAATGCTCCCAGAGCTGGATTGACATCTGCAGCCTTGACTCTATTATTGTCAGCCCAAGATGGCTCAGAGGCAGGAAGCTCACTCTCAGTAACATCATCTGACCGTTCTTTGGCCCACATGCTATGAAATTCAAGTCTGGCAGACAAACATTTACACATCTCCATGCTCCCCTAAAGGGACAGAGCCTGTGCCTGGGACTTCATAGCCATTTTATTAGTAACACACACAGCATGCAAATGCAGACATGGAAATTGTTTCAGGCTCCAATATAAGGGCGTACTAGAACATCTGTTGTGCCCAGAGCTTGACTTGCCCTGCAGGTTTACTGTAGTCTTTGCCTAGTAGTATTTTAGAAAGCACCAATGTCCAGGGGCATTGGCACTTCTTGCAACTGTTAATGAAGAATCATGACATTTTCCTTTTCTCGTCTGTAAATGAACTCCCCCTCGACGTGCTCCCCCCTTTGCCTCCCAGCATACGCTCTTTGCACTACCTTTCTTGAGTACGTAGGAAGGTCCAAGCCTGGCAGGACTGGAGCGAGGAGGACTGCTGGAGAGCTTGGAGTGCATTTCATGATGGACTGGACTGCAGGGGCGTGAGGAGCAGCGCACGTAGGCATCATTGTCAGGTTCTGTTCAGGAAAATGGGGAGGGGGAAGAGCACTGGTGAAAACCCCAGTTATGAAAGGCAACCTTGCTGCAGTCAGTGTCAGCCCAGCTCTGCGTTCCAGCACAGAATTGCTCCCAATATGCGCAGTTGAGTGTCTAATAACTGTCCTGCTTGCACAGGTTGGCAGATAAGAGCTTCCTCAGTGCATGGATAAGAGTGCATACAGAACTATACTGAACAGCTAATAATTATACAGAAAAGAAACCAACCCGCCATTTTTTCACACTTATGACTAATTAGGTTTTACAGCTTGCTCCTGTATCCCTAATCCACATAAACAGCACTGCTGTCTTCGGTGCCAGTTGGCAGAGTAAGACTCTTACATAAAGAAGTGTTGAAAGATCGGATATGTTCAGTCTGAGGTGACTCCACACCTACGTCTTAACTGCTGCTCTTTTCTTTTCCCTAAGACACAGAAATGCACAAACCGTGCATCTCCCTTTTCTCTCAACAAAGGCCAGAGTCCAACATTAACAAATACCTTCTTCCACGCCTTCTCCACAGCTAGTATTTCCCCAGGCCAGTTATCAGAAAAAGCAATGCACACATATAAAACCTTTTTCTTACATTAGGAAAAGGCATAAATGCAGCGTTTGTAGGTCTGGCAGAGGCAGCATCACTGCCTTCAGGATCTATTTTTTTTACTCAGTTCCATAGCACTTTAGCCCAGCTAAGCACCTCCCTGGCTCACACATTACGTTTTCTTACAGAAGCAACTGTGCACAACGACAGAACTACAGCCAGGGACACTGAAGAAAGTCTTGGATGCAAAACCTTCTGAAACCCGTAGAAGGAACAGTCACATGATGTGGTGTTTGCCACTGCACTACAACACTGTCCCTGCATAGGATGCTAGAATGTGTTCTCCAAAATAACACGACCAGAAGAGGTGTATACCTGGTGTCCTACACGGGCTGGCAGGACGGGGGGCTGGCAGCATCTCAGGTGAGGCTCTACCATCAGCTGGCATCATAGTAGTATCAACGTCTGCATCCTCATCCACCTGCTCCGAGTTGCTGCGCCGATGGCCACAGGAGAACTTTCTGTCCTTCATCCTCTCTTTCTCAGAGATCCCTCTCCCTGCTTCATCCTGGATCAACAACTCTGTCTCTGCCAGGGAGCTGCTGCCCATGCCCCCTGTGGTCCGACTTTGACCATCTCCTTCACCCCTGTCACTGCTTGAGTCACAGGAGAGGAACTCATCCTCTGAAGGACTTCGGTCACCCTCTCGCTTGTCCTCCTGGTCACTGGTATCCAAATCTCTTGTCTCTGCAACAATTGGTTCCTTCAATTCTTCGTGAAGCTGATCCATCAGGCACCGCAGGAACTCCTGAGTGTCCTGAAACCCAGGAGTAATTCCATGTTAGTATCCATCCAGAAATGGGACAAATGAGAGGGACAAAAGAGGAGGTGGCTCCAGTCACAGCCTCTTTCTACGCTGCCCACAAAGGTTAGCCACCTCTGCAACACAAGGAGACCCAGAGAGAGTGCCATGGCAATGTACCGAGACCCTTGTCGGCTACATAAATGTTTTTAACTCCTAAACGATAAAAGGCCCAATTTTTATCTGAACATCTTCAGCTGAAGGACACAGAAAAGCCAGAAAGCAGCTGTAGCATGCAAACCATGAGCTTGTTTATCAGGGGTTTACCACTGATAAGATGCGAGAGACAAGAAGAAACCCAGCAAAGACAGCAGGCCGCAGAGAATAGACTCTTACCCACAAAACAGATCTCATGAACACTGACTTCTGCTCATGGCAATCACTCTCTTAGAGAGGGCAGATTAAAATCTTTAATAAATAGGGAATGGAACCAGAAACCAAAGACTATCCAGTCTAGGTGCAAGCTCCTACATTCATTATACACGGTAAAAGAGCTGATACATTGGCTTCAAAGGACCTGCTGCTAAGCAACTTGGTATTTTGACAACTCCAGAAAGTTAATGATGATGTTTCTGTTATTTTATGGAATTTTGGCTTTTAGCCTGCCCTGTCTTCCTTTCAACTTTATCTCTTCACAGCTGAGAGTTTTCCAATCCAATGTACTTCACATCAAAGATAAATATAGAAGTTCTTTCATTATTCATTATTTTTATCCTCTGTTTTGATTTCCTGTCAGTATCACAGTTTAGATGTACCATCACTTCTCTTGTAAATTTTCTAACCATAGTTTGATGTTTACATTTTATTCTAAAGAATAAACACAAGAGATATGCTGACGAAAACTTCAAAGAAAAAAGGATACTATCTTTAAATAAGATTTAGTGTGCTGCAATTCCCCAGAAAAAGAATACAGAACAGTCAGGTCTTTAACTTTTTAGTACGGATTTATCCAGGTTTCTCAGCTCTGACGTGAACAAATAATACCTAACTCTCACATAGCATGTACCAATAGATCTCAAAACCCTTTACAAAGGAGGTGACCATTGTCATTTCAGAGGTGAGAAAGCTGACACAGAAAAGTGCACTGTTTTGGTACCAGCAAGCCAGAAGCCGAGCCTGGAAGAGAACCCAGGTCTCATGAATCCCACCCAAGCGCTCTATCAGATCACTAATACTGACACAAAATGGGCATGACCCCTGAGCTCAAGCTCTTCCTTCTGAACACAAGCACCACCACTGCAGGAAGAAAAATCCCACCGTCTTTGGAACAATGGCATGGTTTTACTGAGGCCTCACCTGCTGTGCATAGCCTCGGAACATGGGGTTGACAAGTTTAATTCCATGGGATAGACTGCTTGGAACAACATAACTCGGGCTGTTTCGACATGGGAAAAAAAAAAAAAAAAAAAAAGAGAAGTTAGTTTGCTTATCAGACTTGGAGCCAGTTTGTCTAATAAGCCATAGAACAGAGTGTGGTAACTCGTTAAAAAGGACAAAAGATAATTATGCACCTGCAAAGCCTGGGCATATATTTCTCTATTAGGAGGATGACATACAAATTAAGAGACAGAAAATGTCTTGCAGTCATTTCAGTTTATCTTTCCAGAAAGACTCTTCCCTAGAGCATATTTAACTTAAAGCTCTGTCCACACTTTGAATTGTCTCAAGTGATTCTTTCCAGAGCAGGGTTTTGCAATGAGTTACTTGGTTTGCTTTTGCAGCACCATGTCTCTCTCAAAATGTGGGTGGGCTGGCCATGCAGTAAATGAGGGAAATCAAATCCAATGTTAAAATGACATTATATGGCTTCAAAGTCTACAGCCTTCTCTTCCAGAAAGACAGTTTACTTTTGCTCTCTCTCTTACTTATCCCTTATTAACAACTAACATGAAACAAGCATGCAATGCCATTTAAATTCCTAGTTTGATTTTTTTCACTTGATTGCACGGAGCAGACAACTCCAGATTTAAACAGAGCTGCATTATTTTACACCATTCTTTGAACTGGTCTTGAATTTGAACCAATAGTGAATATCTCCCACAACATCACCTGGATTTCCCACTCTCTTTGGTAAAAATCTCTGTATCGCTTTTTCCATCCAAATCATCAATCCCTCTGCTAATCAAGAGCAGTGCAATTAAGTGCTGGTCAGTCCATGCAAAATATTCAGAAATGCCCAAGGGTATTCCCTTACTCCATCGTTTTTTCTTTACTGCCAACAGGGAAGCTATATTAAAAAAAAAATTCTTCCTTTTTAAAGTTATAACATTAAGCATGTCTTCTTTTCACTGACATCAATATGCCCATTTTATCACCAGTAGGAGGATATACGATCTACGGGGACAATCCTTGCATACCCATCTACACTGGATTTGAACTGACTGCCTTAGACAACGCACTTATCCCTGAAGATCAAATTTCCTCTTTGCTGATGCCAGACTTCAGGACTAACGTAACTATGAAACCTGTCCAGATCAGATTAGGGAGCGACCACTCACCGTTTCTTATGCCAAACCTCAGACACCAATTTCTGGTAACTTTTGCACAGTGCTGGTTTCTTATCTGTACGGACCAGTCCACCACATTCCAGAAAAAACTGCGTGAGAGGTGGGCTACAAGAAAAAAAAAAAAAGAGAGAATAATTCAGTGCACAGAAATTTCTCCTCTGCTTCCATTTAAGGGTTTATCAAAACTTAAATGCATGCCTTTTTGAAAGCATGCTTATGATACTGTTTTTTAAATTGAGGGAAGAAGCGATTCCAGATGCAGATTGTCTCCTAACTTGAAACAAATGAAAAAGGCTGATCAGAGTCTTCCCAGTATAGAGAAGAGATCCTGGAATTAGTTCTCAGCAGGATGGCTAGAGAGTATTTTAGGATATGGGCTGTTAGAATGGCATCACTGGGGAGAATAAAGAGATGTGACTTGCCTTCCCACATGATAAATAAATTTCTGTCGCAATAGAAATTAGGAAGTTTTACTTCCAGCACTCATCCAAACACGAGTCTGGTATGCAGCCGCAAGTTGGCTGTTCACTCTGTTTCCTACTGTAAAACTTGTATTGCCCTAAACAAACAGTAAACTTTTCTGCACCTAGCCTGGCTCATTTCTCTTTGTAAGACTCATCAGAAGCACCACTTTTGGTATTTAGTGAAGTCTAGTAAAGACTCTACTGAAAGGCCCTAATGCCTACCAGTTAGAGAGAGCCTGAAGTGCTGCATTCATGTAGCAGGAGTTCCCAAGATTTTTCATTCCAGTAAGGCCTAAAGCACAAACAAGAGAGGCATGAAACACTTTCCAGACGTGCTGCTTTCTACATTCCTCCCCAAAGGAGATGGAATTCAGCCCTTTCTAGGCAGTCTCCACACTCTGCCCCTAGGAACCTCTCAGTGCAGGTCCTACAGATTGCAGAGTTACCCTCGCAGCCCTTTCATCCGCTCGATGAAGAGTTACCTCTTGGTTTCAAATCATCATCCTCTGATTCAGATTCACCTTCATCAGCCACTGCAATTGGAACAGCTTTCAAAGGGTGAGCAGGCAATGGAGCATCCTAGATGAAAGGCAGAGAAATAAGCATCAGAGAGAGGCCTGCTTTAAAAGATGAGTTGCGAGAGATATCTTACACATAAATCGAGCCAGCATTTTAAAAATGCACACTGGAGAGAGAAGAACCAGTTGTACTGTCTACCCCTGTCACTAATGCAAGGAGGGAGTGGGAATAGTACCATTACTGCCTCCAGTACACATGATAAGAGAGGCATCAGGAATATGCAGCAGTGTCACAAGTACACGTGTTTCTGGTCCGACAGCTAAAATTTCCATGGGCCACGCATTGAAAATGAAGATGTGACAGCTGTTGTGGTTCCTCCCAGAAACAGACACCCCATGGAAGAGGCTAGGAAAGGTTAAAAATACAGTCAAAATGGATATTCAAGTCATCTGGAAGTCTTCTTGCTGGGAGATCCTATAACGCAAGGTCCTCTGGCTAGAAGTAGCCACTTCCAGTGCGAGAGTTGCTATCATAACAAAAACCTGGACAATAATGGAAACCTCTTGGCTAATTTTGCAACAGGTAGACAAAACCCCTGCCGAGTGTTCAACCCTGCCACATTGTGACACAAACCCACCGGTTCAGTGAACTTCACTGGTGGTGACTGCGTGTGTGTTGCCAGCCGCTGGTCCAAGAACACCTCCTTTTCACACGCGTAACACCAGACACGGAAAGTGGTCAGATTCACTGTCAGGTTGTGCTTTTTGGCCTAAAAATTAAAAGGTGAAATAATGAACCTGATTTGACAGCTGGCTCAAGTTGAAACACTGGACTACCAGAATAGGGTAAAGGAGGATTAGGTAATGGGAAAAATCCAACTCTGTCTGTCTTAAGATGGACAACAGAGAAAAGTTCACCTGTGCGTGAAGTGTGCTGTGGTCAGCAAAGGACTCCCCACAACCAACATAAGGACAACCAATCTAGTGAGAGAAAAGAGCAAAAGTACAGTGGACACAACAAATCAGACCCTTCAGGGAAGAGTCTGCAACTCCAGTCCCACCAGCAGCCGCAACTTCAGAAATGACCTTGCCAGTTTTCCAACCTGCTTTTTATTCAGGGCCCAGAATAACATGGAAAATTGGAATTGTTTGATTTAAGAAAGAGAACCTGGAACCAGGTTTGCATGCACATAAAGGCTCCATTCCAAGGCAACTGCTCCAAGGGGCAGCTCATTTGAGCAGACTCAAAATGTCTGGGCATTCCAGTGTAAAAATAAACTGCCCCTGCCCGCCCTCATGCCCCTTGTCATTCCTTTCTGCCTCACTGCCCTGAGCAACCTCTTCTGAGGTCTCACGCTTGCAGCCTCCCTTCCCAGTTGGCCAGCAGGACCCAGCCAACAGGCAGTGCTGGGCATTTTATTCATTCCTATTAGGACTATCAGGGGGCAGTCACCTATGAGGAGTGAACTGCTACATCTTGGCACAATCTGACCACGTTAGCCTTTAATCTAGGGAATCTTTTCTTTGGAATCCATCAAAAAACAGTGGATAGTTCTACTCTGAACACCCTCTTTGCTTCCCGCTTCTTTTTTTTCAGTACAACACTTTTTTTTTTTTTTTTTAAATTACATTAAAGAGAAGTCCCACCATATCATGCACACAAAGAGCAAGCCATTTTTACCTGAAGACAAGCCCAGAGATTTGGTCCCACAGCTCCACAAGACTGGCAAGTTCCCTGCATATTCATGATAAAAGAAGGTTTGTTTGCTTGTTTGGTTTTTAAGTAACCTAGCCCTCCAAGAGTGGGAAACTCCTCTACACGACAGGCCTTGCCAACCTGCAGCTCACAGCATTTCATTTCTTAATATTGCACTTCCAGTTAAATGCATGCTTTCAGCTAAGTCACACATTTGAGCAGGATAAAATGACAGAAATAAATCAGATGGGGTTGACAAAGGCTTACTTTATGGGACCTGTGCAGGGTCCATCGGCACTGGAAGAAGACTTTCTGCCTCTCCTCTGTGGAGATAGGCAGCCTTTTCTTTGAAAAGCAAACATGCAAACCCATGCACAATAGCTAAACGGGAAAGGACCGACAACCAGAACCCCTGTACCTTGGATTTGAGCAGCAGATCATCCCTGGTCACCTCTCCTATGGAATCCAGGTGAGGACAGATGTCTCTTGTATCCCCCATTTTCACCTGCGGGGGGCTGTTTCCCTAGGACAAGAAAGGATAGTTCCTTCCAGCTACATGTCAGATTTGCTCTCACAGATTGTAAGAAGATAAATTAACGTGTTTTGTATATTAGAGATTACAATACCCATCTTTAAGGTTCAGAGATGAAAACAAATCTAAATCTGGAGTCAGTCGTATTAGCTAGCACAGTTTTGACCCGTTGTTGAGTGGCTGCATTGTGGTATTGTAGGTGAGCGAGCAAGGCAACGGGGAGGAGAAGGAAACACATGAATAAAGCTAATAATCTGTACAATGAGGAATGTGCATTCAGAAATGTCAGGAGGTGCTCAGCCCACAGGCACAGCTGCTGACTCGCTTTCAGGTACGCCGATGGATTTGTTGTAGCCTCAAAATGAAAACAGCGGAACAGTGACGCGCTGACCCCCCTCTTCTCAATCTTAAACTCCCAGACTGTCTGGATCACGTAGCATCTCTGAATGATGCAGCGTCCTACAGCAATAAATAAAACTCCCATTAACTCATACATGCTTTACATACATAACTGGTCTTGTATACCGTGAATACTTGGTACTCCATTAACCTGGCTAGACTGGTAAGCTATGCTTTTCCCCCCTAGAAACCGGGTGTTTCAGCAGATAGGGTGGGAAAACAAATGTGGTGATCTAAACTGACTTGCTCTTGCCAAACACAAACACACAGCATGAAAAGACACAAATCTAATTAGCCTGTTTGCATGACTCAAAAGTGAAAGGGCGCTGCAGCCCAAGACATGAGTATTTAGCCTATGGTGCCTAGGGGCTTCATGCTACCCACACTGTGCTGATCTGAATCTAACATTTAGTCATTATATCACTTTATCAAACATTAAAAATATGATTACTGTTGAAAATGAAGCTGGGCAAGAGGGAATTAGACTTAAGTGATCTGTAACACAGATAACCAGTCTTCAGTCTCTGAGGAATTTACCATTTCATAGATTTTTAACAATGTGAGACACATAACTCTCAAAGACCGTACAAAATGTAACAGCATGCTGTTCCACCCAGCTCGTACATCCAAGCACCACAAGTACAGAGCATTTCATAGCTGCATGCCCAAGAGCACAATAAACACTTTCATGGTGGTCCATGGGTATGTAAAAGACTTTAAACATGTCTTGGTAACATGCAGCCATAAAAAAAAGATTAGAAGAGTTTGTGTTTCTTAAGCACAGTTTAAGTAACCTCACTTGTGGCTGGTAAAAAAAAAAAAAAAAAAAAAAAAAAAAAAAAAAAAGAAGAAAGAAATGATATTAACAACACAGACCAGTATCCAAAATCTCACTATTGGCTGGAAATGAAGCAGACATGAAAAGCCCACATCATTACAAAAAAAGAAGTGGAAAAATCTGATGAATGGTTGCTACACTCTGTCATTACAAAAAAAGAAGTGGAAAAATCTGATGAACTTGAAGTTAACAACTCCAGCAGCATGGTTGCTACACTCTGTGTTTTCACATTTTGAGGACATTTGAAAGAATTCCCAGTGTTACCTGGTCTGAATCCCTGACAGGGGGGAGAAAAGGGAAAAATAAAAAAAGAAAGATAAGCAAATAAGACGTATCAGCAACACTTATCTTGGGAGCTGAAAAGCTTGCCTAGCACCTTGCCTTGGCAGAAGACAAACCTCAAGGATAATTTTATAACAGTGTTTTTCCAGCACTCTTTGGAACTGAATAAACTGAACTGGAGGAGCAAAGCAAAACTGGAGAGGGAAGAAATCATAATTGCATGCCAGAAAACACAACAGCGGTTGTAACCGGGATCTCAGTAACCTGTGAAGAGATGCTTAACAATCAGCTGAGCAATTCCATGCAGCTTCACAGAGAAGCAAAACAGTATCAGGTAACATATGTTGATTTAAAAGACAAGTGACAAGAGTGCAGTATCTTTGACTAACACATAAAACTGGCACACTTTCAGGCTCTGAGTTCCTTCCTCAAAACTGACCCCTTTTCCCAAATGCATTGGCTGGTCCAATTTAAAAAAACAAAAAAAGCAGCAATGCCATGTTTGGTATTTCACCTTCCTTGACTTCTTACCCCTTTCCCAGAAAACCCAAATAAACAAAATATTGTTTTCAGATTAACTCCAGACCCCTTCATCTTCACCAGCTTCAGCTGACTGGGGACTGGTTCTGGAGCATGCTGTGTTCAGTACAGTCTTGTGGATGTGGATGGTTTCAGCGCATCCCATGACACCGCCCCTCTACTCAAAATTAAAACCGTGCCTTTAAACTTCCCAGCTCTGGGATGCTGATCTTCCCACCTAGGGCTTCCCTTTTTGAACAAAACAGGGAAAACCTCATATTCACCTCTCAGCCCTGACTGAACGCATCAGAAAAGGTTCGAGTTGTAACTGTTCAGAAGGAAATATTCAAACCCTCCCTACCTTCCCATGACTCTGCCCCAAGAGCTTTAGCTGGTGCGTGCCAGCTCTCTAATGCTGCTCACAAAACCAGGAATTTAATAACAGCCCTGCCAGAAAGCTTAACTCGGCTTGTCAAAATGTACTGTGTATGATGGGAAAAGAAGTTACCTTAAAACAAGTCCTTCAGCCTGTCTTTCTCAAGCACCGCTGTGGAAGAACAGTACACGAACACGTCAGAACAATTCCACAGTAACTGCAACCTACTTTCAGTTACTTAAAGTGCTGCCAAACCCAGTGTCTCTGCCTTCTACAGTAACACATTTCTCAGTTTGGTGATTTTTTATTTTTTTTTCTTAAAACAACTGTGTGGTTTTGTACCAGGGCTAGAGCCAGCTGTCAAGAATTTCAGATACATGCAGATTCACAGTCTGCCAGGGTAACTGTTTGTACGAATAAACAAAATCCTAGCACTGTTCATCTGCAAAACAACTACCAGGTCTGCGCTCGCTCATCTTGCATAACCTACCAAGATAAAGGAGTGTCTGCAGTTGTTCTTAGCGACATTTTGTACTTCAGATACTGAAGAAATATTTACTGAACTGCCCTACTGACAAAGAAGAACCACAAACCAGGTGCTTCTGACTCTCGGCTGAACGTTTGCACCGCATCACGTACTGGAAAGCCAGGCATTTTATGTAGAACAGGCAAAGGAGACCAGGTTTTAACACAGATTTATTACTGGAGGTCACAACATGACGGCACACCCAGAGATCTAGCTTTTAAGAAAGAAACACCTTGGGAAACTGCCCCCTTGCCCTGCTACGTCGCTCCTCAAGCGCAGCAGACCCCCAAAATAATTGTCCTCTCCTAACAGACGCTACAGCAGCTAAGCGTGACTGAAGTTGAATATAAATATCCCTGCACGCCGCTGGATTCGGGCAGGACGAGCCACCGGCAGAGCCACCGGCCGCCCCGCAGGGTCCCACTCCGAGGGTGGCGGGGGCGCAGAGCCTGCT